ACCATAGGGCCTGCAAGGCAGCTGGAGAGATAGACAGGTTTTTCTTGGGTAGTTAAGGAACAACCGTGGAGATCTCCTCTTCTCCCTCCATTTTCGTTGTTTCTCACTTCAAATTTCAATTGTTTTGTCTTTTACCTTCAGCTTTCTTCTTCAAGTGCTGTTTAAGGTCTAACATGAGGACTTAGACCCTGGAAGAATGTAAAGGCTTCAATAATAAATTTGTTTAGGAAATATACTTGTCTGTTGTGTAGGGCTACATAAGGCCATTTTCATCCAAGTGTGTAATGTACTTTAAACACATTCTATGTCCCATACTCTGCAACATCCCCTACTATATACATCAATTTATTTATTTATTTATCCCCTTTGTTCCCCAGTTTTGTTTCTATTTTCGTGTCATCATATGAGTTTATGAAGTCTCTAGTTGAATCTTTCATCCCTATGAATGACACAGGAAAGAAATATACTTCTTTTTTTAAAGAAAGATTTATTTATTAGATAAACAACATTCTGTCTCCATGTGTGCCTGCTGGCCAGAAAGTGATACCAGAGCTCATTACAGATACTTGTGAGCCACCATGTGGTTTCTGGGAATTAAACTCAGGACCTCTAGAAGAGTAGTGAGTGCTCTTAACCTGTGAGCCACCTCTCCAGACCAGAAATATGTTTTTTGACATGTGTGCCACTGTACCCGTGTGTAGGTTGCAGGACTACATGCAAGAGATTGTTTTCTTCTTCCACTGTGTGGTCAGGGGATTGAACTCAGGTTCCTGAGACTTGGCAGCAGGTGACTTTATCCATCTCCCTGCCTCCCAAATATACTTTAAAACGTGTTATTCCCAATAAAAAACCAGAAACCTTAACATATTCAGGCACAGTGTCAACATTCAAGGATAAAGGGAAAGTTCAGAGATGAGCAGAAGAAGGAGCACTGGTTGGAAACCCACCCACTAGGATACTTTTTGTGAATTCACCTATAGCTCTCCCTGTAGCTGTCTACAAATCTCAGTTTACACTGTTGGAGAACAGATTATCTCTAAGTGGCTTATCCTGGTCTTACTTTCTTTTTTTCTTTTGTCTTTCGAGACAGGGTTTCTCTGTGTATTTTTGGAGCCTGTCCTGGAAGTCTGTAGACCAGGCTGGCCTCGAGTGCTGGGATTAAAGGCATGTGCCACCACTGCCTGGCCCGGTCTAATATTCTAGGCTTTTTTAGTGTATGACAGAGAAAACTAGAACTTTGACTATTTACTAGGAAATTTATGTCTATATTATATTTATATCTATATTCAAATTCCCTTTGGGTATAGCCATTATTTCCATTTTTGCAGATGAAGAAATGGAGCCATAATGCAGTTAAGTAACACAGCCAAAGTTATAGCTAGTGGTGGGTGCTCCCTTAAGAGGATATAATCTGATCAATCAGCCTGTGCTCTTTGCATGATAACCACTGGAGAGCAACACTGGGCCATCTCAAAGTGTAGAGGGACATAAGTGATGAGGCAGCAAAGTCTTTAATTCTTCTGTGTCTTACTAGCTGCATGGGGATTCATATGCAGTGAATTACCTGCATGATTATTTGAATATATCCAGTTAACACTAGTCCTGGAAGGAACTGAAAGATGGGCAGAGTTCTCTCAATTTTTGTTTCGAATTCCAAAGGACTCAATGTTCTTATGTCACCCTCATCATTCTCATTAGGGAATAGATCATTTGATCAACAATTCATTTCCCTTTGAGGAGGAGAACCACTTCTGAGTTACTGATAAACTTGTGAAGAGTGACTGACTTGTCAGTTTTAGTGTCATAAGAAAATGCAGCATGTATAAGGTCATATTCAGGATATACATTTGCACATTAGGTTCATTAGCTTTTAAATATATAAGTGTACTGAAGAGTATTGTGGAAGATTAGTTGAAGCTGTGTTATATTTGTTTATGCTGTGGAATATTTGTTTAATGATGCCAAGTTGTTATATTTGTTTAACGCTATGAAGCTGTGTTACTTTGCCTGCCTAAAATGCCCTATTGGTTTAATAAAGAGCTGAATGGGCCAATAGCTGGGCTGGAGAAAGGATAGATAGGGCTGGCAGGCAGAGAGAATAAATAGAAAGGGAGAAGAGGAAGACACCTGCTGCCAGCCACCCAGCCACACAGCTTCACAGCTAGCCACAGAGCTAGAAGGAAAGAAAGGTATTTAGAATAGAGAAAGGTAAAAATCCCGGAGGCAAAATGTCACTGGGATAATTTAAGAAAAGCTGGCTAGAAACAAACCAAGCTAAATCCAGACATTCATAAATAAGAATGTATTTATCTGGGAGCTGAATGGCAGGCCTCTAAAGAGTAAAATTCAAGAGTATTATTAAACCGTAATAGAATATAAGATACTTTTACTGATGATTTAAAGGAGTTCTTATTTAGCTGGTTATACAGTTGTCAAACCCGGGTTGAGAGGAATGTCATCAATCCTGACTTTACGTTGATAGAAATAGATATTAAAGGCTAGGAAGAAGGCCCAGTGTATAAAGGTGCTTACTGTGCAAACAAGAGGTCATGAGTTTGAGTCACCAGAATCCATGTCGGCCAGAGAGCTAGTGTATGTAGTAGACAAAAACAGCAAAGACTTTTTTTGTTTGTTTGTTTCGTGTTTTTGTTTTCATGAGACAGGGTTTCTCTGTATTGCTTTGGAGCCTCTCCTGGAACTAGCTCTGTAGACCGGCTCTGGCCTCGAACTCACAGAGATCCGCCTGCCTCTGTCTCCCGATCAACACCTGAGGTCATCTTCTGACCTCCATATATACACTATGTCACACAATGCACATGAGAGAGAGAAGTAGAGAGAGAGAGAGAGAGAGAGAGAGAGAGAGAGAGAGAGAGAGAGAGAGAGAGATTTAAAATAAAATAGATTGCAGGCATATAGCTTTTAATTTTTTAAAAATATGTATGTATGTATGTATTTAATATTCTGGCTGCAGTTTCCCCTCCCTCTTCTCTTCCCAGCCCCTCCTCTGAATTGTTTCATTTTAAAGCCTTGTTCTTATTTTATTTTATGTGTGTTGTAGTTAGGTTTACTATTGCTCTGATAAAACACCATGACTAAAATAATACAGGGAGGCAAGGGTTTATTCAGCTTATGCTTCCAGGTAACAGTCCATCACTGAGGGAACGTTAGGGCAGGAAGCTGGTGGCAGGAGCTGATGTAGAGGCCATGGAGTGCTGCTTACTGGCTTGTTTCCCATGGCTTGTTCAGCTTGCTTTCTTATAGAATGCAGGGCCACCAATCCAGGGATGGCACTAATCAGCATGGGCTGGGCCCTCTTCCATTGATCACTAAATGAGAAAATGCCCTACAGGCTTTCCCACAGCTCAATCTTATGGAGGCATTTTCTCACTTGAGAGTCCCTCCTTTCAGATAACTCTAACTAATCTATGTCAAGTTGACACAAAGTTAGCTAGCACAATGTGTATATGTGTTTTGCCAGCATGTATGTCTGTGTATCATGTGTGTGCCTTTTGCACACAGAAACCAGAAGTGGGCATTGGATTCCCCTAGGACTAAAGTTTTATATGATTATGAGCCACTAAATAGGTGCTGGGAATTAAAACCAGGTCCTGCCAAAGAGCAGCCAGTGCTCTTAACCACTGAGCAAACTCTCCACCCCCAGGAATAAAATGTTCTAGTAACTATGTTAAAAGGTGAAATTAATTTAAGCAATTATTTCATGTATAGTATGTTAAAGATTGTTTTGGTATATAACCAGAAAATATGAATAATTTCTTTTTAAAATAAAAATGTCTTAAAAACTGTTATGTTTGCCAGGTGTGGTGGTGTACTACTTTAATCCCAGAGTTGGAAGCCAGCCAGGTCTACATTGTAAGTTCTAGATCAGCCAAGGATACATAGTGAGGCACTGTCACAAACCCAAACATAAAACAAATGAAAATAACAACAACAATACATCACCACCACCAACAAAAATGAAACAAAATACCACCACTACCAACAACAAAAATCCCAATCTCCCCAACCTGGTACATATGTAGCACTTAGATACATTTCAAGTCTTAATAGTCTTGTATGGCTAGTGGCTTCCTATACTGGATAGTGCAGCTCTACAGCAAACCTGTTTACTAGTGTTTTCTGGGGAGTGATTCATTAAGAGAATTGGCTGATGTGACAGAGTCTGTATAGATGGCAGGTGCAAGTCTTGCCTGCAACTTCTCTGACAGGCCATTCTGAATATCCATACTGCACTGCCTTTCATTGAACAGCACTAACAAAGTGTATTTCTTTATTGTCTGCAGCTTTTTAAGTACTAAATTTTCTTCAGATAATAGTCTGGATTGTTAGTTTTGTGTTTCTTGTGTTGGTGTTTTAACATAGGGTTCCTCCGTATAGCCCAGGCTGGCCTTGTGATCTTCATGCTTCTGTCTCCTAAGTGCTGATACTACATATAGTTGTTCTTAAAATGTTTTTTTAATTACAATTATTCATATGTGTGTGTACATGTATACCATAGTGTGTGTGTGTGTGTGTGTGTGTGTGTGTGTGTGTATAAACCATGGTGTGTAGTGGTATGTGTAGGTCAGAGGTCCACTTGCTGGAGTCAGCTCTTTTTTTCCCACCATGTGAGTCCCAGGGATAGAACTCAGGTCTCCAGGCTTGTTGGCAAGTGCTTATCCACTGAGCCATGTCATAAACCTGTAATTGCTATTTTAAAATCTTAGTTTTATAATGCATTGATTCAGAAAAATAATTTTAAATTACATGGGTTGTGTGGGAAATATTCTCACAGTGAAAACATACTGTCATGTCAGTGTTGCTTTTAAAACAACTTGCCAAAATCTAGAAGATTCAAGGGTCCAATTTTACAGTTGAGTCCTTAACATCCTATGACAAAAACCTTATTCCTTGTATTTTGAGGCTTTAGAGCTACCGATTGCAGAATGTAACATGTTTCTTATCACATAAAATTAGAGCTAAATAATTTTATTAAATTGCAGAACCACCATCAACCAGCACATCTGAATTCTTCATCTCTTCGGCAAGTTGCACAAGGCACCAGTATTTCTGAAATGTGGCAAAATGACTTGAGGCCATTGCTGATAGAACGCTATCCAGGGTCACCTGGAAGCTATTCTGCCCGTCAGGTGAGAACGCAGCACACACCTAGAGGCTGTAAGTGCTTTGCTTTACTGTGGGGCTTAAGATGATGGCTAGAGTTCTGAGTTGTGTAATATCTGGACACATCATCTCATTACTCACTATTAGGAATAACCAAGACAATCTAACACCTGAGAATAACTGTCTCTTCTGGATTGATTGATACCCATGTACTGAAAATCGGTTTGTGTGTGAAATTACAGTAATGGCTAGAGCAGCAACAATATAGGATACTAACTCCTCCACTCTTGGTCACTTTAATAACACACCTCTAGCTTGCTAACCAACTTTTGTGGGCTCTAAAAACCAAATTTCAACAGTTTTTATAGTGCTTGCTTAGCAGATCTGGGGCAAGGGCAGGAGTGAGTCACTGAGGTAGCCATCTTTCCTTTTGTGGGAAATTATGGTGTTTCTTTTTCTTTTTTCTTTTTTCTTTTTTTTTTTTTTTTGGAGGGGGCTATGGACAGTGTCTAGAGTTGAGCTTCTCAAACTTTGACCCACAGTAGAAACATTGGATATTTTGCAGACAAGGATATACAACAATGTATTTAGCTGTAACAGAAGTTTTTGGAAAACTATTCATGGTCATCACCTGTAATTTGCTTGGATATTATAAATCCTATTTTGTGAATTGAAGGAAATGCCCATGGTGACCCACTAAACTGATTTCTAGGTTTATTGACTTTACTACTGCTGTTCAGATGACACTGCTGGAAAGAGTAAATAAACCATAAGTTGGGCTAGACCTTGAACTTCTCAGTGTTGTGTCAGTCTGCCTGAGCAACATGAAATCTACCTCTTCATGTCTGCTTCTTCAGACTAATCCCATTCTGAGGACAGCTTTGGAAGGAACAAGACTGGCCTGTCAAAAGCCTCTTATTGAATATTCTCCTTGCTCAGCTTCTTAGACAAAAACCCTGCCAACTACTGCTGTGCCTGCATGTTTCATCAACCCAGCTCCCAGCTCTCCTTTATCTATGGTGTAGTTTCTGGGTAGCCTGGACAGACCTGTTTGTTGGCTTTTTGGCCTCCTACTTCCACTTGAATAGCTCCTGTAAATGAGACCCTAACAAACTTAGTTCTTTTAGCCTTTAGAAACACTGTGGAATGATGACTGACAATGACAATGATGGCTAATTTTCATCCTTTCCCTCACTTCCTTCATATGTGTGTGTGTGTGTGTGTGTGTGATACATACATATACACACACATATACATATATATATACATATACACATATATAGTCTATCTGCAATTGGGCTGTCCTAAAATCTACTGTGTAGCCCAGGCTCGACTTAAACTTGAGGTAATCCTTCTGCCTCACTCTTGCAGGATGTATTATTGGAAGTTAAGTGTACTAGCAATTTGAATTCAGATCTGCTTGATTTTTCTATCACTGGAAGTTTGGGAGAAATTAGATCAATGATAAATGAACCCCAATAGTGTCACCTGTGGAACACTGGAGAGTGATGTATACATCATTTACCTCACAGTCTTCTTAAGGCTCATGTCCTAAGAACTAACTTCCTTCCTTTTTCTTACACTCCCCCCTTTTTTTCTTTCTTTCTTTTTTTTTTTTTTTTTTTTTTTTTTTGATACAAGGTTTCTCTGTGTAGCCTTGGCTGTCCTGGAACTCACTCTATAAACCAGGCTGGCCTCAAACCTAGAGATCCACTTGCCTGTCTCCTGAGTGCTGAGATTAAAGGTGTGCAACACCATTGCCCAGCAAGAATTCTCTTAAAGGGTCTGAATCCTCAGTTCCTCATTAGGAAACAATCCACATCACTTTTCTGATTTTCTCACCCTATGAGTTCAGAATGCTACCTACACTCAGATATACATATGTATACCTGAGGCCCAAGCTCCTTTTTTGTGGACTCTGGAAGGTCATAAACATAGTGAACATCCTTGAGCTCTGTCTTCTATGGAATATGTAGCATAAGCAGCATGCACAGGTATTGTTATGATTTAAAAGATGCCCATTCAGGAGCTGGAGAACGGGCTTGGCATTTAAGAGAGCTTACTGCTCTTACAGGGATCAAAGCATGGCTCCTAACACCCACATTGAGGGGCTTACAACTGCTTAGAACTCCAGCTTTAAGAAACCCATCTCCTCTGGCCTTATGTGCACATACCCACACATAGATACATTCCTACACAAAATTAAAAATTAAAAAAGAATGTCCAAAAGTAAATATCCATCTAAAACTCTTGCATTCACAGTAGAGATGCACATGACTATGAGTTCTCTTAGAGATTAAAAGGTCTTGGAGAATTGTTTCTTAAAACTTGCATTTATTTAAAAATGTAACTTATTTACAAAACAAGTAAATCTAAGGCATTAAATTGGACACACTTCAGTAATTTCTAGTGTAGTCACAGAAAGTAAATTGAGTGACAAGGGTAGCAGATTCTCATGAGGGACAATCAAGATCCTTTTCTAAAAGAGACAAACCAAAGAAATCAGGGCTTCACAGTGAGTTGTGGGAAGTCAAAACTGAACTCAGTGAAAGGTATGCATATTGCCAGCGCATCGTCCTTAATGGGGTGCCCTGTATCTTCAGCTTGGATCCCAGAGCCTGTGTTGGGAATAATTCAGAGAAGTCTACTGTGACAGAGTCAGAGCCCTGACAATCACACATTTGCAGACTACTTCCTCTGAACAATCCTGGTCTACTGATGATGTCACAATTCCTCAGATACTTAAAATCAGAATTTTAGTTGGATTAAATTAGACCTAGGACCATTCACTAATGTTAACCTAGAACAACTTCTGCATTACCTCACCCAAAATCAGAATGCCAGATAATAGTTTATCCAACCCTTTCACCCCTCATCCTTCCTAGGGGGACAATCCCTTTGAGTCAGGGAGACATCGATGCCTAAGGAATATTGTGGTTTGGGGAATCCCCCTTTCAGAGACTTCTGTCTGAGACTTAGAGACTAAATAAATCTGAAAGCTGAAAACACTATGAGCCATGGTATCCTAATTTAATCTTAGTTACCAAGATAACTGAAAATATTTATGCTGCATGCAGAAAGGATCCTTCAGGGACAGCTATCTGAGGCTCTTTCTGACTTTTATTTTTTTGTGGATGTTGGTATGCATATAGCTGTTAGAAATCATGGCCAAGGGTGGAGAACTGGGATGAGAAACGAGGCCTTGGGTGAGGCTTCTGAACAATGCTCACAATTCATTTCCAAGGCTACTATCGGGTTCAAGAAGCCATTTTATGGAACAGTTTGTCATCTGAACACCAGATGTTCTGGAGTTAAACAAAGTCTAGGAATAATCCATTTTCATCTTCTTTGGAAAATCTCATCTTAGATGCACAGTGGTTTCTTTCTCTCTAATCAAACAACCCATGTTCTACATCATGTTATTTTTACATATTTTCATTACATTATCTCATGTTTACTGTTACAACCAGCTCCTATGCCCTGTGATAGACTTCTGGGAACAAAGCATAGTATAGGAATTGTAGGGCATAACAAAATCAGTGCGATAGAAAAGGTGGTTGTGAAAAGGCTTTAGATGTTTCTCTTTATGACTGGAACGAAGACAATATGTAGAATAGCAGGGAAAAGGAAGGTGAGGGATTCAAAGAGCTGTTTAGGACAAAGGCTAACTGAATAACTGCACAGGCCAAAGGGATTTGTCTGTTTGTTTGACTTTTTCAAGATCGATGGTGCATGTGTCAGAGCCTCCGCCCCTCTGTTTAAGTTCCCCTCTCCTTGGAACCTTCCTGCTCGTTTGTCCAAAGCTCTTTTTGCCTGTGTGTGATGTTACATCAGCAAGCCATAGGCCACACATGGTTTGGCCAGAGTAGAAAATCCTGTATTTCTTTTGGAGGAAAAAAAATCCATCCATTTGTTTCCAGTTATTGTGAGTTATTTGTTCATATTTGGGGCAAGTTGTCAGTTATGATAATGACTAATTTGTGTTTGATGTTGAAAAAAATTTTTTAATAAGGCACCTTACAAAGATGAATACAATACTAGAGGGGGAATAAGGAAATGTAAAGAGACAGAAGAGGCCAAGGAAAAATAAGGATGGGGGAAAGACAAAATGAAATAGCAATGAGCTCATTCCTAACTTCTCATACCAAAAATTTTAGATTTTAAGGAAGACTTTCAGTACCTGGCATGGTGTTTCTTCTCCACTTCCTGCTTCCTGCCTTGGCCATTGTGCTGCTCAGAAGGCCTGGAGTGGCCATGAGGTGGTGCTGAGTGATTCAGGTCTGGACCTACCTTGGATATAAAAGGAAAACTTGGGTCATAGTTGTTTATTGATTTAAACTTTAGGCAGGGTCTGACCATATCTCCAACCATCCGTTGCTATGGGAACTTTCTCTACAACCCTCAGTAGGTAGGTGCTTGTGTCTTCCACTAGTGTTCACTACACATGAACTGTTTGTAGGACTTGGAGCACATTCTGTGCATTACACACACACACACACACACACACACACACACACACACACACACAGAGCTGCCACTGAGAGCTTACAGTGGAGGCTTATAGATTTGATATGCTTAATTTCTCAGACTACCTCAGCTTTTTAAAAACGTTAATAGCAGTTTTTAGTAGTGCTGAGCTGGATTTGTCCCCTGACCATGATAGATTTTTAAATGTAAAGTATGTCATTTTCCCCACAAAAGACCCCCACCTTCAAATATGTGTGCCTGTATGCCGGTGAGGTTTGTTCAGTCAAGAAGTATGTAGAAAGATCTACATCAGATTGCTAGTGTTGGCAAATATTGACAACTGAATGGGATGGATAAGTTAGGACTGAGGGAGATAGGCCTCTTTTTTCCATGAGAAATTATTAATTAAAATAACAACTACTAGTAATGTTATTATTACCAGTAAGCATACAAAGCGTGTATGCCAGTAATCTTAGCATTTAGGTACTTAGTTTCAGTCCAGCCTGGGCTACAGAGTGAGACTCTGTTTCTAACAGCAACCAAAGATGGCATTACATATAATTTCAGAGACACAGATAATCAGTGAAAACCATTTGTTTTGATCAGCACATCATGCAGCGAATTCAAAGGCTTCAGGCTGAGTGGGTCGTGGAAGTGGACACCTTTTTGAGTCAAACACCCTATGGTTCCCGGTCCTTCTCAAATATCATCAGCACTCTTAACCCAGAAGCTAAACGACACTTGGTCCTTGCCTGCCACTATGACTCCAAATATTTACCTCAATGGGACGGCAGAGTGTTTGTGGGAGCCACCGATTCAGCTGTGCCATGTGCAATGATGTTGGAACTAGCTCGTGCCCTGGACAAGAAACTCCATTCCTTGAAGGTAACTGCTTTCTTTTTGTTGACTCCTAGGATTAAAAAAGTCAGCAGCAACTCTGTGAATTCTGGAATCCTTGGAGGGGAAGATCATTTGGGAATCAAAGTTTTGGGGTACATTTTAAAATAATTTGTTAAAAAATGTGAGATGGAAGGAGTGGTATTTGGAAGATTACATGCGTTGAAATGTCTACCATGGGCAGTTAGTCATTCACAGATAGATGACAGTGGGTTCATTAACTGACACTTGAAATCTCAGACTTGAATATATATTTAATTGAACACAGTGCTTCTTTGCAAATAATGAAGTAAAAGGAAGGATGGCACAGGCTAAAGTATGAGGTTTATATTTTGTAGTGAGCTGTGCTTGTTTCTCCTTATTTACACAGTCGTGAAACATCACAACCTTCTGTGTTCTGGAGTTGGGGGAGGGCTGTGGAAGACCTCCAGCCTGTGGGTAATTCAGACATACCAAGATGAAAGGCATAAGACAGAAATGTGTTCTTATTGTATCTGTGGATCAGGAGCTTAGTTTTACATAGCATAGATGCTATGCTATGCCGGAAGCTCAGAAAACTTCTGGGGAATCTCAGATTTTATTTCAGTCTCTGTGTTCATAAGGGTGTATTAGGAGAAAGTGCTACACTAGATGAAGACGTTTTATTCTGATACTGGTCATAACAGTAAACATGGCAAAGTGAATACAAAAACATTATTCATGGGCAGCAAATGCCTCTTGCTATCCTTGGCATTATAAAGTGTCCAGCTGATACAATGAGAGTAGAGAAATAAAAGGTTTATCTTGTAATGGAAGTAATAGAGATTTTTTTTTCTGTTTTTGCTGGATATGCAGAACTTGAAGAAAGCAATGATTGTTTATATCCCTTTCACATTTTGTTTTGTTTTCTGAGCCTTCTATAATGCCTTTGTTCTGCCTAGCCCTGCTTTGAACTGGTAAATGTCCCTAGCAATGGGTGAGGGAATCCATAAGGAGACATGCCATTTTAACTTTTTATACTTACATTTCTAACAGAAGGACATGGAATGGATGAGGTGTGACTTAAAGGCATAGTTCTTCTTGGCACAAATGTTCCTCTTAGTGACCCACTTTGCCTTCTTTCCAAGTAGCACACACCTGCTTTCAGTATGAGAAATAGGAAGGGTTATGGTGGGTGTTGTGGTATATTCCTGTAATCCCAGCTCTTGTGAGGCTGAGGTAAAAGGATTGCCATTTGGAGACCATCCTGGACTACACAGTAAGTTCCAGGTGAGCTAGGGCTACATAGTGAGATCCTGTCCGACAAAAGTAATAACAATAGAATCAGTAATAGCAAAAAGAAAGGAAATAGAAGGGACTGGATTGCTGAATGGGGATCCTCAGCAAATTATTTGAGTCGATGTATGCCTTCTCTGAATTACCTTTTCTATCAGAGTTAAGTGGTGATATGAGCAACTTTTAGAATGGGCTATTTTCGAATGCAAACTGTATCAGATTTATTCACAGCTGATTTTAACTTAATTATCACCAATTAGGCAAGTGGTGGAGGGAAGTACTCTGAATAGTAGATGCCATTACTGTTCCAGTTCCCTGCAGCCCTTCCCACCCACATCCAGCTGTATGGCAGCAATCACATATTGTCATCTTGTACCTTGTACCTTTGCTGTGGCCTCCCACTGTAGCCAGTGACACATCCATGTCCCTTGGCTGAGGACATCTTTATTGATTTGTCTCGGATAATGAGATGGTAGGAATATGAGGTGTCCTCGGGGAGCTCAAGGAGATTAGGTAAACATCATGCTCAACAGTGAGATCTTCAGGTGTTCCTCCATTCCTAGCACCAGAAGGCCAGCAGCAGACAGAGGACTGCAGGATCTTTCTCCAGAAAATGCAGATGCCACAGAAAAGGATGCCAAGGGGGCACATGTGGCAATCTTAAATGAGAACATTTAACAGACACCAGATTGCTCTTAAGTGACTGCAGTAGAGCCAACCAATTTGTGTCTCCAGTGAACAATTTAGTACCGTGTTCTTCAATACAAATGAACACCAGGTGTGGCCAGATACTGGCAAACAGTTTCCACTGTAGAAGAAAGCAAGAAAAACTAAGAATGCAAATTGAAACAGGGGGCAGAAGATGGTTTGACACTACTTAAAAACCATAGAGACCAGAGAATTTATATTCATAGAAGAAAATGGCGTATTCAATAGCAGAATAATTACATCATAGCAAAGACCTCTTGGAAATTTCAAATTAAAAATACTATTTTTTAAAAAATCCACATAGAATTCTGAAGTAGATGAAATTTTTTTTTCTAGAAAGAAGGAAAAAAAAAATAAAATGATGATGAACTCGTTTGTGGGATCATTCCAGGTCGTATAAAAATAGCAAGAATGAAAATGACACTGGACTTTTCAATAGCAATATTGGGAGCTAGAAAACAATGATGTTATGCCTTAAAAAAATCATTTGCCACATGAAATCATAGACTGAAAACTCTTTTTACACGTTTAAAATGTCAATAATTTTCACTATTATGCACTGTTTTATTTTAGAAGTGGTATCTAAATTTGCTCCAGCAAAATTAAGAGGAACAAAACCAGGAAACCACAGAAGATGAAATCCTGGGGTTGTAGGTACTGGAGAAGAGAGGCCCCAGGGTGGGGGTGAAAGGTGACCAGAGGAAGTGAGCAGTCAGTTCAGGCTGGAACAAGTAGAGAGAGAAGGCTCCAAGAAGTGTGCATCCATACAGAAAACACCAGTTTGACTGATGAGGATCAAAAATATCCAAGATGTTTGACAATGTATTGTTCTGGGAGTCTTTATGTAGAAACAAACAGGGAAGAGGGAGGGAGGAACCTCCCAGTGGCTTTTGGTCTGAGTAATTGCAAGGGGGCAGAGTTGCCATCTATTTACTTGGGGAAGAGTATTGATAATGTAATTTCAGGGGTATAAGCAGCTGACTTTTGACAATTCTGCCTGGGATGTCTGTTTTTAAAAGAAATTGGGGCATATGTTACATACATACATGCACACATGTTGTGAGGTGTCTAGTAAACACCTGTGTGGAGATGTTAATTTGCCATCTGGAGATTTGATGTGAGCATGCACGCATTCGCGCGCGCGCATGCGCGCGCGCACACACACACACACACACACACACACACACACAATTCAGAATAGGTACCAAAGGGATAGATGCTAGTAGAAATGAGAAGAGAACCAAGGAGAAAGTCTCAGGGCTCTTTGATATAAGAGAGGAGACATGAAGGAATCTACATTGTCTGGGTCCATTCACTCTCAGATTGAGTATTTCACACTCTTCCTTTTTCTAACCTGCAGTTCCTTATGTCACCCATCCTGACTCCCAAGGAGTGGCCTTGATTTCTTCTTGCCAGTCTCAGAAGATACTAGTCTCCCCACATATGCACTAAATTTCATCTCCTCTTGGGTGCTAGAGGGCATTGCTGTAGCAAACACTGTTTCTCTTACATCAAGATTTCTGTCTTTGCTGGATATTGTTTTCCCCTATTCACAGGAAAGCTTGCTGGGGGTGTTCCATATTTGCACTGTGTCAGAGTCACTGTATCAGAGAAAGAAATGAGGATGGGTGATGTAAGGAATTGTAGGTTAGGGAAAGGAAGAGTGTGAAATATTATGTGAGAGTGAATGAACCCAGAAAATACATATGACTTACAAAATGCTGTATCAAAATTTCTGGTCATGGATTTTTTTCCTGAGACAGGTTTCTCTATGTAATATCCCTGACTGTCCTGAAATTTGCTTTGTAGTCTAGGCTGATCTTGAACTCACAGAGATCCACCTGCCTCTGCCACCCAAGTGCTGGGATTAAAGGCGCGGAGCCACCACTACCTGGCTTCTGGTCATGGGTTTTAAGCTAGCAAGTGGCATGGCTATTTTGTTCTGGCCAGGTCCAGCATCTTGAGAATAATCACAGAATGGGTAGGGAATGGTACTCCATAATATTGTTATCTCATGAAAATGTGACTATGGAGAGGCAAAGGAATGATAGTATGTCTAAGGGAAGTACTGAAATGATTGCCAGGAATTTGGCCAAACATGGAATAAATAAGGTCAGTATAGGAGTATAGCTGTGAAAAGGTGATATTGAGTGGATTTGGGAATTCTGGTGAGATTGAAGGACTTCAGGGTGTGAATATCAAAAGGGCTGATCTCTATAGGAAAGTCACAGACAGACAATAAAAAAAAAAAAGTAAAACTTTTTAGTTTGCTCAAATACTGTCTCTCACAAAGCCTTGCTTGATGCCCCAAGGACTCCATCTCTCATTTCTCCCAGCCTTCAGCGGATGAATGAGCCTGTGGGCATGTTATGTACCATGCTTATGTCTGTATTTTATCTCTCCTAGCTCTCCAAATGTATAGGCTCTGAAGAAGACTACTGTAATTATTTTGTTTGTGTCCCTACATCATTCCTAGGGAAGACTCTTGAACTAAAATTCAGTAACACATTTCACACTTCAATGAGGTGAGAAGTTATTTAGATTGGGTACCAGGGAGGCTCACTCCAAGGTGGAGCATCATCTGATGGGCATTCAGGTCAGTGAGTAGGGATCAACAATAGCAGCAGGGAGAGGGATGGAACTGGATTAGGAGGCATGAGCAATGGTGTTGCAGGGCAGGTTTTACAGTAGCCTTGGCTACTCTGGGGAGTGGTGGAAGTGGTGGCCCTGGAGAGGCCCCAGTGCCTGAATGAGGTAGTCATGGGATATAGGACACTCCCAGGAGGTACAGACCAAGAAAGGCTGCAGCTGGAGGGACACAGTATCATGCCACTGTGTTCATTACAGCAGCTCCATGGACTAATGATTCGATAGAGAGTAAGATCAATTGTAAGACATCTAGTTTTAGAAGGGGTGGGATTTGCATGGTTTGATGATGTTAGAAGCACAAGTGGTGTGATGTAACTTTTGGCATATCTTCATTTGCTTGGATATCTTTATTTCATGGAACATCTTTTTGGCCATTTACTAGTAAAGAATGTGAGTTTTTAATTGACTGTAGTATTTTTGTCCCCCCACCCCCACTGGTGGTCACCATGAACCATCTTGATAAAGTATTCACAGCTATCTGTAAAGATAACCCCAGGTCAATATGTCCTCACCAAGTACTTTTTAATATAGTTTGGGAGTCCGTGATTGGTCAGAGTTGGAGTTTCTGTTGGTTTTGTTTTATTTTTAAAATTGCACTTTTGTTTTTTAACCAGGATGTCTCTGGTTCCAAGCCAGATCCCTCACTTCGGCTAATTTTCTTTGATGGAGAAGAGGCTTTTCTTCACTGGTCTCCTCGAGATTCTTTGTATGGATCTCGGCACTTATCCCAGAAGATGGCATCAACTCCACACCCTCCTGGCTCAAGAGGCACCAACCAACTGGATGGCATGGTTAGTCTGAGTTACCTTGGCTCTGTAGCTCAGTCCCTGTCTCCAGAGAAAAGGCTGTGAGGACCAAGTAAAGACCTAAGAGTGCCAAAAAATCCTCAGAGCATTGTTTATTGTAGAACATTCCTTGGGAAGCACTGGATTTTTGAGGAATTCCAGAGCTAAAAAGAATGACTCTGTGTTAGAAGCTGTGTTTGGCTGAGCTTAATTAAGATGATGTGAAAATCAGATTAAAGAGCCATTAAATTCAGTATAAGAGCACCGTCTCTCTGCCTCAAATGCTGTGTGGTATGGAGAGGGAAAGCCTTTCCCAGCCAGAGGAGGACGGGAACCCCAGGGAATGGAGCAAAGAGGAACGAGTGAGGAATTACCCAAGTGCTTAAAGCAGTATAGTGACTGTAGTATGGATGTTCAATTCCATGTGGTGGGTTGATTTGGTATTTTTGATGTGAGTGAGGGTAGAGACATTTAAGGATGTCTTAAAATCCTGCTGCTATTACTAAGTATCCAAGCTCAGTTTTTCCTTATTCTGTGCCCTGCCCATAAATCATATCCTATGACTCTCTTCCCATACGTGATCTTCATTTTGTCACTAAGTCCTCATCAACTCCAGCTTAAAACCTTGTACTATGCTTGGGACTTCCTTCCTCCCAGTGTTGCCCACATTATTCTTGACACTCTCCCTAACCCCTCCACTCTGTGTGCATGCATCCCATTGTTTCTCACATTACTGGCCTTCACCCTGTAAATCAAATGAACAATCACTGTCATCTATGAGTTTCCCAAACATCCTCATGTGAACATGACTCTCTCAGGTACATTGACAGCTTGTCATTGATCAATGACATATAGTTAGTACTCCACTCATTTACTTGTTCCTGAGTGGCTCAAAAGGGTCCAGGAAAGGAGGAGAGACCTAGATAATTAGTAGTTATTTATCAGTCCAGATATATGACCCACAGTGATGAAAGGACCATTTATTTCTCAGACAGAGATTTATCTAATCTCATGAAATGTTCCTATTTCAAATAAGCATTTTCCCAAATGAATGAATATGTGTATCAATTATTTATATATATATATATATATATGTGTGTGTGTGTGTGTGTGTGTGTGTGTGTGTGTGTATCATGTGTGTATAGAATCATGAATTCTGAAAACATTTATTCAATGTATGGCAGATTTCACTCTAGGTAGCTACCCGCACATTATTCCATTTACCTACATCAGGAGTACTTAATCTAGGGTGTGGTCTTCAGGGAATCCTCAAACCTGATTTTGTTTTATGTGTCAAATAAGCTAAGGAATGTTGGTTTAATATGGAAGGTTATAAATAGAAGATGTTACAGAGTAGCTGGACTGAGAGCCTTGCTTGCTACACAAGGAAATGGCAATCCATCAGCATGATGTATACATGCTTTAGAGGAATTTTTCTTGCATGCTGCATAAGTCATAGCTTCCATCCTTATGCACCCCTATTATTACTGATTAAAGTTTAAATGCCTAATTATAATGGCATAGGAGACCAGGGATGTTTGAACCATCTGAAAACAAAGCAAATCTATTCTTTTCAATTCATGAAATATGCATCAAATCTGCCTTTCTAATCTATCTTTGGTTACATTCATCTGGTGTATAATACATCACCATTCATCCATGTTACATAAAGAAGATCTAAAAAGTTCTCTAAAATGGTTAGCAAATACTGTTACTAAACTCTTTGTCCATTTATATAGCTCCCTGCATGATTCTCAAGTATTAAAATGTGTTTAGTTTTGACTGTTTTTCTCTATTAATGGATCTGAAACATGCTTTGGTGGTGATTGTGATTAAGTGATATTTTTCTCCCTTAGGATCTGTTGCTCTTACTAGATTTAATTGGAGCTGCAAACCCAACATTTCCCAATTTTTTCCCTAGGACTACCAGATGGTTTAGTAGACTCCAAGCAATTGGTAAGAACCACAGTTATTATAAAGCAAAATGTTGTTTTTTCCTACTGACAAGCACTGTGCTTTAAAATTCAAAATTTATGATTTTAAGTGTGCTCTTTAAATACTAACATTCTTGGCTGGCTTTTGTCTTACCCTACCAATTAGTTTATTATTCCTAATTTGTCAAAAGGCCCAGTGTATTTTCCTGCATGGAATTCTATTTTGAAATGCAAATATCAAAACACTACATTTATAGAGTCTTAGAAATGATGCCAAGAGATACTCTTGCATTTAATTTAATTTTCACCTGTTTTTGTCACCTATTTTCTTCTTTGTCTTATTTTCAAGGACTCCCTTATTTCCTTTTCCAAAATGCACATTTCAATAAATTGTGATTATTGTAATTGAGATTAAAATCTATTGTGCTATTCTTCTCCATGGGATTTACATAATTAACTATGTCTTTAATTGTATAAGAAAAAATGTACCTTAGAGTTAAGGAAATATAAATATTGTTAAATAGGAATATTATTTCAGTTGGTAGTTGGGGTTTCTCAATGTCCTTAAACTCTCACTCACTACACAAGCTTGCTTATTTGTTGGTACAGTTTTACCCTTGTATTTTAACAATCACAAAAACGACTAGCTATCCTAGGGAGTTCTTTTTCCTTGTTTCATAATCTCATGATCTTTTGCCATCTTGTAACAAACATCATGTGGGCTATGTATAACATGAGCTGTGTGTTACCAGATAACAAGAGCGGTGGGTTCTCAAATTTAGTGTAGATCAGAATCCCCTAAGTGCATGCTAAGACATACATTACAGGGCCATACCCCAGAATTTCTGATTCATTAAATCTGAGGTTGTACCAGCTAATTTGCAACTCTTAAGTCATTCCCAGGTGGTGCTTGAGGCCACTGATCAGAAACCACATCTTGGAAATCACTGATATAGGTCACAGTAGGTGTCTTCCCCCCCCCCCCCCGAGTGGCCAATTGATATACTTCATCCTACTCTGTTTGAATATTCCACTTTTAAGCCCAACATCCCTCTGTATGCATTCCCCAAACACCATTTGGACCTATTTATACCTGCAACAGAGTTTTCCCAACACTTTTGGCTCTTATTTTCTCCTTTCTAATCTTTCCATCATTCTGTTGAGTTTCTACCTTTAAAGAGGTTCTCACCAGAAAAGCCAGAGTCATATGTGACTCTTTGCCTCTAATCTCCTCCTTCACACAGGTGAAGTCTAAATACTTATTGTCATAGATGTGGCTATGTTTGCTGATATATATCTAAAGAAGAATTCTATATGTGATAAGATTTCAAGCTCCCTAAAGAAGGATGGATTCTGAGTCTTGATCAGATAAAACTAAATGTTCACCTACTGTCTGATTGTTGTCTGCAGAACAAGAACTCTATGAATTGGGTTTGCTCAAGGATCATTCTTTGGAGAGGAGGTATTTCCAGAATTTTGGTTATGGAAATATTATTCAGGATGACCATATTCCATTTTTAAGAAAAGGTAACTGTGTGTTACTGTCCATGTGCATTTTCCCTTCTGTACCTACTATATTTATTATATTTTATGTGTTCTTTGAAATTTTAACACAATATTATTTACACATTATTTTTACCTTTTATTTTATTAATTGTACATAGCGAATTTCATTATGATATTTTCATATACGTGCATAATGTAGTGTGATCATATTCATTTCCCTTTGCCTCTCTTGTTCCCTCTCTCTCTTGTTACTCCCTCCCCTTTTCCTAATTAATCTACCTTCCCCTTTCATATATTTTTAAATGACCCAGTAGGTTTTATTAGCATTGCTTACAGGAGAACAGATGAATGGTTATTCACAGTCACCTTACCAGTACCTGTGCCACTGACGTATGTATTTTCCTCCCCCAGCAACCATTATAAACATCTATAAGTCCTCAGAGAGGAGTGAGATCTCATTAGATATTCCATCCTCCATGACATGATGTTGTGGGTCCAATCTTATGAAGATCTTGTACAGATTACAGATGTTGTGAGTTCAAGAGTGCCAGTGGCTATGCCACGCTACCATTTCACGCCATCCTTCCCATCCTTCCCCATTTCTTCCATCCTTTGATATTCGCTGAGCCTTAGTTGATATAGATGTCTAATTGATGGCTTAACATTCAACAGGCATTTATTCTCCTCATCTCAACCAGTAATGCGTCCATGCAGTTGCCATTGCCCAACACTAAAATAACCTCCCTATCCCTCCAAATTTTACTTAACTCCCTGGTATCATTAGGTTGCTTTTCTTTAATTGTAAAGGTTTCTAGATCTCCAACTGCTGCATATATTTGAGAAGCAAATTGAATATGAATAGTATTGGTACACTTTGAATCACTAATCTCATGATTCCTTAAGGTTGATCAAATTAAATTTATATATTAATGTTTTAACCAATGTGTTTAAAAGATCTAAAATAGTCAATAAAATTAATTTGAATGAGAGCTTATCTTTAAAAGGAAATATACATATTTTCTATAAAAGATTTTTGGCCAACATGTGTCTTCTGGTTATATATCTACAACATAGACATTAGATAATTAAACCAAATTAAATGATAATGATACATCTAGACACACCCTTACCTCGTCTGTATTGATGCCAGGTACTATTCACGTGTAGCTTATAATAGTTTAACATCCCTTTATCAGGTAATTGGAGAAACAGACCCCCCCCATAACCAAGAAGTGATTTCCAATTTATACCCACTGGGAGATGGGAAATAATTGTTTCCCAACAGAGTGACAGTGAGTATATTAACTGCACTCCAGGGCATGCCCTATTTGTCAACATTAAATGGATTCTGTGTTTTGTGTGTGTATGTATGGTTTTTTTGCTTATTTTGCTTTGATATTTTTGCCTTTTAGTTTGTTTTGATATTTTTAGAGATAGAAAAAGAACATGAGATTTGGAGGGTAGGGAAGTGGGGAAGGGGAAGAATATGATTAAAATATATTGCATGAAAAAATTAAAGAAAGTAAATACACAAAGTAAAATGAAACAAAAGACCTTCCCTTTACCAGCCTGTTCTATTTGGATTGTCAGATGAAATGATGGAGCCCATTATTGTTCATTGACACAGGAGAATAATTGGCATGAAATGTTCTTTTCCTAGCCTTGCCCTATTCAGTAAATGATCTACATTTATCCAGTGGCCCAAGTCAGAGTGTGAGAGCTGTCCTTAATTCTGCCTTTTCTCCAAGTTCCATTTCTGTGTCTTACAGACATGTGTGTTTAAGTCTTCAGGACAATGTCTGAGTTGGGCTTTATATACACCTCTGAACTTACACTATAATTCCTATTGTCCCCATTTTGAATCAATCTAGAAGTGGTGAGTCATTAACTATAACAAATCGATTAGTTCAGCCATTATGTCAATCACTCATGGATTCTTTTGTGTGTGTGTGTGTGTGTGTTTGTGTGAAAGACATCCTAAATTCTTTTTTTTCTTTTTCTTTTATTTAATTTATTATTTTTCATGTCAATCCCAGTTCCCTCCCTCCCACCCTCCCTTTTACACTCTCTGCCCTGTCACATGCACCCTGACCACCCTCCCCTCCCATCCCCCCACTCCAATTCCATTTGTAGGGCAATGCCATCCATGTGGGGTCATGTAGATCTGACAGGTCATTTGAAGTAGGGACTAGGACTTCTCTACTGTCTCTAGGTTAAGGCAGTATCCCTCCATGGGGGATGTGTTCACAAGGTCCTTTTGTGCACCAGGGATACATCCTGGTTCCATTGTCTGAGGTCCCTTAGACTGCTCAGTCCTTCTGGCTGAGACCCATATTCAGGGGGGCCTGAGTCAGTCCCATGCTGGTTTCCCAGCTATCAGTCTGGGGGCCCATTAGCTCCTTCTTGTTCAGGTCAGCTGTCTCTTTGTGTTTCTGCAACCTGGTCTTGTCCTCTCCGTCTGCATCTAGGTTCTAGTTCGACTCAGTGTTTAGGTATGGGTGTTTGCTTCAGTTTCCAGCAGTTATTAGATGAGGGCTCCATGAATAAGTTAGTTGTTGATCTCATTATCCTGGAAGGGCATTTATGATAGCCTTTCCACGGACACTCAAATTGTTAGTTGGCAGCAGTCTTGTAGTTCTCTAGACCTTTCTTTGGGTTCAGTTTTCTCTTCAAACCAATATTGGCTCCCTCTTTTATGCTCTCTCTCTCTCTCTCTCTCTCTCTCTTTCTCTCTCTTTCTCTCTGTCTCACTCTCTCTCCTGTCTTCTATTCCTACCCTGACTCAATCTTCCTAGTCACACGTGATTTCCTAACTTCCCCCTCTCTTTCTCCTACTTCTCTCTCCATTCACTGCCCCCCCCCCACTTCCCCTGTGCTTTGGGGGACTTGTCCTTCCCCCTTCTGTGAGGGACTTCATGTGAATCTCTTAAAATACACCTTGTATCCCAGTTCCTCTGGTGGTGTGAATTATAGGCTGGTGATCCATATATGAGGGAGTACATACCATGTTCCTCTTTTTGTAACTTCATTCAGGATGGTTTCTTCAAGTGCCATCCACTTGCCTGCGAATTTCAAGATTCCATTATTTTTTTCTGCTCTGTAGTATTCCATTCTGTAGATGTGCCACAACTTATTTATCCATTCTTCAATTGAGGGGCATCTAGGTTGCTTCCAGGTTCTTGCTATTACAAATAGTGCTGCTATGAACATAGTTGAACAGATGTCTTTGTTGCATGGATATGGATCATTTGGGTATATGCCTAAGAGGGGGATTGCCGGGTCCTGTGGTAAACTAATTCCCTTTTTCCTGAGGAACTGCCATATTGATCTCCAAAATGGCTGTAAGAGTTTGCACTCCCACCAGCAGTGGAGAAGTGTTCCCCTTTCTCCACATCCCTTCCAGCATGAGTTGTCATTGGTGTTTCTAATTTTTGCCATTCTGGCAGGAGTAAGATGGTATCTCAAAGTTGTTTTGATTTGCATTTCCCTGATAGCTAAGGATGTGGAGCACTTTCTTAAGTGTCTTTTAGCCTTTTTGATTTCCTCTATTGAGAATTCTTTCTTCAGTTCGGTATCCCATTTTTTAATATGGTATTTGGTGTTTTGTTGACTAGTTTCTTGAGTTCTTTGTATATTTTAAGAGATCAGCCCTTTGTTGGATACAGGATTGGTGAAAAATCTTTTCCGAGTCTGTGTGCTGCCGTTTGGTCTTGTTCACTGTGTTCTTTGCCTTACAGAAGCTTCTAAGTTTGAAGAGGTCCCATTTAGTACTTGTTTCTCTCAGTGTCTGTGCCCCTGGAGTTATGTTCAGGAAGGGTTTCCTATACCAATTGTTCAAGGGTACCTCCTACTTTCTCTTCTAAGAGGTTCAATGTGGCTGGATTGATGTTGAGGTCTTTGATCCATTTGGACTTGAGTTTTGTGCATGGTGACAGACATGGGTCTATCTGCAGTCTTCTACACACCCTCATCCAATTGTGCCAGCACCATTTGTTGAAGATGCTGTACTCGCCCCATTGTATTCTTTTAGCTGTTTTGTCAAAAAAGCAGGTGTTCATAGGTGTGTAGGTTAACATCAGGATTTTCAATTTGATTCCATTGATCTACATGTCTATTTTTGTGCCAATACCAGGCTGTTTTCAGAACTATAGCTTAAAGTCAGGAATGGTGATGCCGCCTGAAGTTCTTTTATTGTATAGGGTTGTTTTGGCTATCCTGGGTCTTTTGTTTTCCACATAAAGTTGATTATTATCCTTTCAAGGCCAGTGAAGAAATGTGCTGGGATTTTAATGGGGATTGCATTGAAACTGTAGATTGTGTTTGGCAAGATTGCCATTTTTACTATGTTTGTCCTACCTATCCAAGAGCATGGGAGATTTTTCCATTTTTTGATACCTTCTTTAATTACTTTCTTTAGAGCCACAAAGTTCTTCTTATGTAGGTCTTTCACTTGTTTGGTAAGTGTTACCCCAAGATACTTTATGTTGCTTGTGGCTATAGTAAAGGGTGATGTTTCTCTGATTTCTTTCTCTGTCTCTTTGTCGTTTGAAAAAAAGTAGGGCTACTGATTTTTTTTGAGTTTATCTTGTATCCTGCTACTTTGCTGAAGGTGTTTATCAGCTGTAGGAGTTCCCTGGTAGAGTTTATTGGGTCGCTTATGTAAACTATCATATCATCTGCAAATAGAGACAGTTTGACTTCTTCCTTTCCAATTTGAATCCTCTTGATCTCCGTTTGTTGTCTTATAGCATTAGCTAGAACTTCAAGTACGATATTGAAGAGATATGGAGAGAGTGGGCAGTTGGTTTGCTGTATATTGCTCTTATTATGTTTAGGTATGTTCCTGTCATCCCTGATCTCTCAAAGACATTTATCATGAAAGGGTGTTGAATTTTGTTGAAGGCTTATTCAGCATTTAGGGAGATGATCATATGGTTTTTCTTTTTCAGTTTGTTTATATGGTGGATCACGTTGATAGATTTTCATATATTAAACCATCCCTGCAATCCAGGGATGAAGCC